TAGATTATTTACCTTACTCTGTCATTTAAAAGATATTTGAATTTGGATAAATTATTTCATAATAAATAATTACGAATTATAAAATATAACTTAATAACTGTCTGCCTAACTTGAGAGCTGCCTGAAAGGATCAAATGGGATTATATATATGAATGCATTGTATAAAGATTAAACATTATACAACTATGAACTCCAGTTTTGAAATATCTGTGTAATGTATAGATAAAAATTATAATATAATAACCAACATTTATTAAGTGCTTACTATTACCAAGAACATTCTAAATTCTTTATTTGGATTAACTCACTTACTTGTCATAACAATCCTATCAAATAGACACCATTATTTTCTCCATTTTACTTACAGGGAGAGTAAGGCATGGATGGAACTAGTAGAGACAGAATTTGTACCCAGGCAGCCTGGCTCCAGAGTTCGTGCTCTCAACCATTACATACATTACTGATGTTGAGATCTGTGCCTTACAAACTATGAATGCTCGAGTAAATTTTTTAACCTTTAAAAGCTACCATTTCTTCGTCTGTAAACAGAAATACCAAACTTTTTTGCAAGGTTGTTATAAGAATTAAATGCAATAATATAGAAGTGTTTCACAAAGTATACAAAATCACTTAAAGGGCATTATTCATGGATGAAAAAAAGTCAGACTAAAAATGTCTGAAATTTTATTTTCAAAGAAGCAAATTGGTCTTTTATTTCCTTGTCAACCTTTTAATTTACTCCTCTTCCTCCCTCCTTTCCTTCCCTGACCTACATTTCTATTTTCTTTTACCTTAATGCCCACAAAAATATTTATACTCTGAGTCAATAGTCAATTTAAGGGTTTACTTAAAAATCTATTGTGTTTAGACCTCAGAAAACTTTTCTCCATGAAAGCTATGTTATAAATGGTGATTAAGTTTATATTAGATCTACAAAAGTCAGTTTAAGATCGCAATAGAATATGACCTTTCTTGTCTACAGCCATATCACCCTGAACACGCCTGATCTCATCTGATCTTGCAAGCTAAGCAGGCTGGGGCCCGATTAGTACTTGGATGGGAGAATATGACCTTCCTAGCTTTAATTGGAAAATATATAACAAGTTCCAGTGAAAAATTCAGTACATGGAGAAGACATCCCCCTAAAGCTCTAAAAGAACATTTAGGGTGTTATCTCTCTGTTATAAATAATACTATAATGAGCACAACAGTGCATAAAGCTTTTTTCTGGGTTTCTTATTATTTCCTTAAAATGCATCCTTAGAATTCAAATTACTGGGAAAAAGGAAAATCATGTTTTAAGGATCTCTTATATATTGCCAAATTTCTTTTGAGAACTGGACTAATTTTTAATTCTGTTGATAGTGTATGAGAAAAGCCAATCTTACTGTATCCTTACCATTATTAACTTCTAAAATTTATTGTTTTTATTATTCACTAATTTAACAGAGTGGCCCTTAAATCTGTATTTTTTAACATCACTGAAACTGAACATCATTTAATATATCCATTTGTTATCTATATTTTTTGAGAGCTGTTTATATCCTTTTATATAATTTTTACTAGGTCTTAATGTTTTCCATTATGTTTTCATGAAAATTTTATAAATCAATGACAATAATTTATAGTTGCTATCAATCTTGATTTTGTTACATATCTCAAAAGTTTTTATTTTTGTATAAACAATCTTTCCCTGTATAATTTCTTCCATTGTTTTTCTGCTAAGAAACTCCTCCTTCATTGAGATATTTGATATCCATTACTATTTTCATCTAATGTTTTGAGTTTTTTTGTTCATTTTGATCTTTCACTGGAGAGGAACTTTGAGCAGTACATTAGGTTGTCCACTACATCTGAAATGAGAAGTAACTAAAAGTACAGACTTAGATTCATTCATAGGCAGTTGCTAATGGTTTACCTGGCTGGTCATGGACTTGGAAGGAACAGGATTGGAAGATCAGGACAAGAAAATATGAGGAAGTATGTGGATAGATCCCTAAGAATGGGCATAAACTTTGAAAATATTTGTGTCCTATGTGAATGTCCACCAAAGGACATCCTCCGTAGAGGAAACTCATAATAATCATGTGGACAAAATGATTTGCTCTATGGATATCAGTCAGCCTCTTATTTTAACTCTCTCTAAAAGGATCTATTGATTCAGCACGAGTAGAATTTCAATCAAAACCTCAATGTGTTTTTTGGTGGAAATTGAAATTGGCTCAAAATTTACATGGAGAGCAAAGGGCCTTAAAGAGCTAAGATTCTTCCAAAGAAGAATAAGGTTGCTTAGGAGGGTCAGGGTGGGAGGGATGTCCTACTAAATATCAAGACTTATTACTAAGGTGAAGATGGTGTGACATTGGCACAGAGATAGACATAATGACTATGGAAGTTAGCTCTAGAGACATAGAAACAAACAGAAAAATTATCAAATGATTTAGTAGTCAGAATATGTAAATGTCTATAAATCCAGAGAAATAAACCTAAAGAAAAATTAGTAAAAAACATAAACATTCATTTCACAGAAAATTAAAGATGTATAGCCCAAAAGTACACAAAAAGATCATCAACTCCATTAGTAATCAGGTAAATGAAAATTCAGACTATAGTTAGTATTTTACAACTGCTACATTGGTAAATATTGAGTGACAATACCAAATGTTAAGAGGACTCTCATACATTGTTAGCAAGAGTGTGCACTGGTAGTACTACTTTAAAAAACAATTTGTCATTATCTTATTATATAAATGTATACATTCATGTACCCTCTAACTAAGAAATTCTGTTGTATGTACCTTAGAGAACTGTTCTACATGAAAACCTATTTTATCCATTTACTCCTCAAGAAAATCTAGTAGATTTAGATAAAAATTAAAGTATTTTAAAAAGCTACTCAATAGTATTATCAGGATCAACGTTTAGATATAAATGATCATGTATAATAGGGAGAAGTTAGTTTCTTGTGCATTTTTCTGTCAGCATAGTTAAAATAATGTATGGCCGGGCGCGGTGGCTCACGCCTGTAATCCTAGCACTCTGGGAGGCCGAGGCGGGCGGATTATTTGAGCTCAGGAGTTCGAAACCAGCCTGAGCAAGAGCAAGACCCCGTCTCTATGAAAAATAGAAAGAAATTAATCGGAAAACTAAAAATATATAGAAAAAATTAGCCGGGCATGGTGGCGCATGCCTGTAGTCCCAGTTACCCGGGAGGCTGAGGCAGAAGGATTGCTGGAGCCTAGGAGTTTGAGGTTGCTGTGAGCTAGGCTGATGCCACGGCACTCTAGCCCGGGCAACACAGTGAGACTCTGTCTCAAAAAAAAAAAAAATAATGTAGACCTGCATTTATTAACAAATAATAGCAGAAACCATGTAGTCTTATTAACCTAGTCTCTAATTATGGATATGGATAAATTGATGTATTTATCTTTCAATTATCCATATCAGTTACAAATGATTCAAATTGAACATAGCCATTCTAATTGATGATTTACAAAACTTCAAAAATTTCAAAAGATCATCTAAGTTGACCTTTCACTCATTTTACCTGAATATCCCATTTGTGGTGTCCGACTTTTATAACCTGCTCTCTGGGGATTTCCAGCAGACAATGGAGTTTTAACTATTTGAGGATAATTAGTATCTCGTGCAGAAGATGAGCTTGTACCAAAAGTAAGATTTGATGCAACTGCGTTTTCTGTATAAGATCTATTGTTTCCAAAGTATGAACCTGTATTTGAAAAATTAAGTGTCAATTCTTAAAGATTTGAATTATGTAATTATAAATCCCTATAATTTATACCATGTTCACTTTCTATAAGCTTCATCTGATAATGATTTTTTAGAAATATAAAAAATTATGGCAAATTTAATGACATTGATAAATGTACTCAAATACATTAATATGACTTTTGCTTCTACAAGTTTGTTGAGACCACTCTTGCCAAAATCATAAATTACCCTCTAATCTTCCAACACACCAGATACATTGCTGTGGTTTGAATACATACCCTCCAAAACTCATGTTGAAATTTAATACCCAATGTAGCAGCATTGAGAGGTAGAGCCTTTAAGAGGTGGCAAGTCATGAGAGCTCAGCTGCCTTCATGAATGAATTAATCCAATCATGGAGTAATGGGTTATCATGAGAGTGGGACTGTGCCTTTGTAAGAAGGGAAAGAGAGACCTGAGCTAACATGCTCTGCCCCCTCACCATGTAATGCCCTGCACCACCTCAGGACTCTGTACAGGGTCCCCACCTGCAAGAAGATCCTCCCCAAAGTTCCCCTTCACCTTGGACTTTCTAGCCTCTGGAACTGTAAGAATAAATTTCATTTCTTTACAAATTACCCAGTTTCAGGTATTCTGTTAAAAATAACAGAAAACGGACTAAGATATGTTTAATTTGTATAGTAATTCTCTCTGTTAACTTCTTCACTGAAACTCTCTCCTCCCACGCAAATGGTTTTGTAAAGAGAGTTTTAGATTCACTTGGCTTCAGTCCCTTATTTAGATTCTTACCTATTGATACAAGATATTGCCTATCTTACAGGGTTGTCATAAAATTTAAACAATGTACATACACAGCTTAAACATGCTAAGCTGTTCATGTGCACATAACATATTATGTTCTCGGCACAGAGAAGTTCTAAAAAAAATGTTTGGGTTCTTTTCTTTTATTCCTTTTTTTCCTACAACTATCTTGATTCTCCTTTTAAAACACTTTTAGTTGTCTTTGCCAGATCCTTTTTCCTCTGCTTCTTATCTATTGGCCTCCAGGGTTCTATACTTTTAAACCTTCTCTCACAATTCAACATTATGCATTTTCTCTGGGCAGCTCATCTGTTCTCTTTTCTATTAACATTTATTTCCTAACAACTCTCAAACCTTCATATATGGCTGTAACTACTTGCTTATACTGTAAGCCAGGGGTCAGGGTCAATAAACTTTTTAATAAAGGACCAGATGGCAAATATTTGAGGCTTCTCAGGCCCTACTGTGACTGTCACAATTACTCAACTCTGACATTATATCAGGAAAGCAGTCATAGAGAATACATAAATGAATGACAATACATAAAACTTTATTTCTAGATACTGAATTATGAATTTCATATAATTTTCACTTGTCACCAAATATTATTCTTCTTTTGATTTTTCAACTTTTAAAAATGCAAAAACCATTCTTAGCTCTATGCCTGCATTGTTCAATACGGTAGCCACTAGCCACAGGTGGCTATTTAAGCAAATTAAAATTAAATAGAATTAAAAATTTTATTCCTTAGTCACATTAGCCACATTACAAATCTTCAATAGCCATATTTGGCTACCAGTTACCATACTGGACTGCATAGATATAGAACATTTCTATCACCACAGAATGTTCTATCAGATAATGTAGCTATTTGTCACTATATCTAACTACCTCTTGGACACAAACCTTTAGATACCATCCCAGAACTTCTAAATGTCCAAAAATGAACTCATTATCTTTCCCTCAAAATTTATTCTTTCTTAACTACCAATCATAGTCAATTATATCATCTTGTATCCTGTTGCCCAAGTAATAAACTTAGGAGTCATTCTTAACTCCTCTTTCATCAATCTTGACACCCAATCAGTGACAAACTCCTATAATCCTTTTTTATTTAATATTACTATAATTTTAATCCCCCTCTACTCCTATCTGCCCATTTTAACCCTATATCTTCTTTGGGCCTTTTGCAGGTCTCATATTTATTCTCCTTGCTTCCAGTATTACACCTCTCTAATCCATTCTTCACATCATCACCAGTGATCTTTCTGAAAAACAAATTTGATCATGTATCTCCCTTTCTTACAATTCCTAAGTTTCTCCCCATACCCACCGTAGACTTCTTTGGGTTCCAGCAGGAATCAATCACATATTCAAACTAGGATAATTTGAGGAGAGTTTGATAAAGGGAATATTTAGGAAGGTGTGGATAGGGAGCTATAAAGAAGTGTGTAGAACTAGGATAAAATGTGCTCCATTAGCATCCCCGGGGTTAAAGGAGCTGAGGAAGAGAAGTGGTTGCCAGGAACTAGGCACAGAGAGGGCTTGTTTCTTGTTCTCAGGCTACTTTTAGATTCTAAGCCTTTTCTTGAAACTTGTTCACTTGTCTTAATTCTCCTCCAACTTCCTTAACCTCTATGTTGGTATATCTTCATATTCTCCGCTGTAGCCCCATATATACCGGTAACTTTCAAATTTATATTTCTCCCAAGTTTCTCTTCTTAGCCCTAGATCGCTACATTTAATTGTCTGACTATAAATATATAGATATCCCACCACCTCTTCTGATATGTACATATCAGAACTCATCATCTCCTCTCTAAAAGTTGCTTCACCTGCAAAATTCCCCTGTACCAGGCAACAGTACTACCATCTATCCAGTGACCAAAGCCAGAGATCTGGTGTTGGCATGTGGGACAAAACTTATTTGCCTCCCAGATCTAATTCCTGCAGGTACTCTAAGTTTATCTACATCAGATCTCCTTCTTGGTCTAGCCAAGCAAAATTATTTGCAGTTCTACATGTTTCTTCTGTGCCTTTGAACATGTTTTTCTTAAGAATACACTCATTTCTCTTTTCTCCTCCTTGTCCGTAGCTGGCATTCTTTGTCGTACTTATCCTTCAAGAGCAGCTCAAATCGCACTTACTCTATAAAATTTCTTTTCCCACTTTTGTTCCTCCACTTTAATTATATTTCAAAATTTTGTAAATACCTGAAATATAGTTATTTCGTAAATGTATATTTGGTGATTTTTTAAGTCTGTCTTCCTTACTGAATCACAAGTTCCCTGAGAGCATAGATGATTATTATCCCCAGCTCCTAACATAATTTGGGCCTTGGTTCCCTCTGTAAAACAGGAAAAAAAATCTACTTTGTGGAATTATTGTGAGGATCAGAGATATATCATAACTCTGGTCGTATTGTAAGTAAGCTTGGAAGAAGGAAGAATAGTTAGAAGTTTAATATGATAATTTATACATAAAATTATGAGGCACCGATAGAAAGGGACAGATAAAAAGGGACAGAATTATTTAAAAGATAAAGACAGAGCTTGTTAACCGATTGAATGTTTGGAGTGAGGAAATACTTGAATCGTTGACATCTTCCATGTTTAAGATTAGGCACCCAAGTGCTCGAGGTAAGCAAGAGATGCAGCTTAAAAAACTGCAGAGAGATGAATTTAATTAATCATATAGTAAGCCTGAGGTATCGGTCTGTCAATAGAAACTTCAGGAGACAGTCTGAATTAGGAGTTGTAGAATATAGATGAGATCTGAGCTGTGGAGATATTCACATCCAGATAGCAGTGGCTTAGGAAAAAAAAAAAAAAAACTGAGAAACCAATAATTTGGGAACTAACAAAGATGACCATGGCAGTTCCCTGGGAGGTAAGAGACAACCAGGGGCAAGTGGAATCAAGGAAGCCAAACTAAGAGAGTTCAACAGAAGACTGGTCAAGAACATTAAATACAGCAGTAAGGTCACAAGATGACCTGAAAAGTGATCACTGGACTTGGCATTTGTTATCTTACCATGGTGTTGTAATGGTGTGTGAAAAAATAGTATGCTTTTGCCATGAATGAAGATTAACAACGTACACAATAAGTGATTTGAACTCACCTTGAAAGACACACTTTTTTTTCCCCCTGACAGGCTCTTGCTTTGTTGCCCAGGCTGGAGTTCACTGCAGCCTTGATCTTCTGGGCTCAAGCGATAATCCTGGGTCTGCCTTCTGAGTAGTTTGGGACTACAGGCAGCGCCACTACACTCGGCGAATATTTTTTTTAATTTTTTTGGTAGAAATAGGCTAGTCTTAAATTCCTGGCTTCAAGAGATCCTCCCTCAAAGTGCTGGGAATACAGGCAGGATCTATCATGCCTAGCCCTGCTTACATCTTTTAATACTAAACCTGAATTAGATGAAATGTTCAACTTAATCTATTTTCATCCCACCCTAGGAGGACGTGGAGACTTAAATTCAGCAGCCAAAGAACATCTCGCCACTCCTACCAGCAGACTCATGCACAAACTCTGTCAGTTTTTATATATTTGGGGGCGGGGGCGCGTTTTATGTTATTTCAGCCTTCCTCAAAACCGAGCCATCCACCATCAGTCTTGTAATACAACCAATTTGAAGAATCAAGGTTTTTAATCACCCAGACCCATCAAATTCCCAGGACGCCCTGTTCTTACACGCCAACCAACCATAACTGAACTTCGCTCTGGTAACCACCGCCCAGTCTCCCTGAACTTCCGAGAGCTGCGGGCCTCTAGCGGATGGGGGCTCTTCCACGCAACTTTTCCTTGCCTTGAGCTGGCCGGCAGGGTGGCGGGCGGCGTGGGAGGCTGCTGCTGCTACTCCGGTCGCCCGCGGCTCCTGACGTGCTGGGAGGGGTGGGCGCGGTCAAGGCCTGGGCGGAAGGGCGGCTCTGAGGAGTCTCCTGCAGTTCGAAATTGTAGCGAGGACCACGTGAGCGAGACTCTCCGGACGACAGGGAAGCCGCAGGGGCGGAAGGCGAGGTGGATGAGACCTCAGGCCTCAGCATCCTCCCAAACTTTCCCCGGAGCGAGTACGCGGTTTCTGAGCGCCCCTCCTCGGAGCCCTGAGGCAGACGCAGCTCCCCTGAAAACAGCGCCGAGCTCACTGAGCCGCAGGGCGCAGGCGCACGCAGCCCAGCTCCCGACAGCCTCACACCTTTCCCCCGTTCGCAGCTAGCACCCTACTCTCGGCCGCTTCCTAACCCATCACCTTCCACATAAACCTAATTTGAGGTATAGCTTTCTTCAACTCGCAGGCATCAGGCTGAACAGAATTCTTCAGGGCCCATCGATGACCACCAGATTTGGTAGCCCTATTATCCTCATAGCATCCCATTTCCCTTATTGCAAAATGCAACGTGCTTTTAAGTATTTCCCAAACACCTAAGCACACTTTTTTTTTT